GAGATATCTGTAATAAAACACTGAAAAACACTTACTTTATAATAAAGTTCACCCCATGAGTTCATGTTTTAATAATCCACATGACAAAAGAGTAAATATGTATAAAACTCTTCTGCTGCATACAGCAAGAAATTTGTTGGTGGTCTTGAACAAAATTATGTGTAAGATTATTTAAATTGCATGCTTGCTGATATGGGGACTTTTTCACAATACCCTATCTTTATTTGAAACAACAAATTATGTTTATTTAGAGTTGAATATATGCAAGGTATTTTTCTGAAAATGACCAAGTAAGTCTGTAACTTTCAGAACATAACTGACAGCTTATTGTCTATCCACTACTGTGAGCTTTAAAACTGCCTAATAGATAGGTTTTAAAAAAAATTGGTGGCAATAATAACAGAGGTGATTTTTATATGACATATCTGATGTGGCACTTAGAAATCTGCATAACTCAGAGAACTAATTAATTTCCAAAGAACTAATGTGTGACATTACAAAATCTTGTGTAGATTAAAAATTCATTGAAAGAATGGGCGAGACCACTATAGTTCAGCACAGATGATCAATTTGGATTAAAAAAATGCCTAGATAAGTCAGGTGCAGGTGGCTCACCCCTATAATCCTAGCTACTCAGGATACTGAGATCTGAGGATGGAGGTTTGAAGCTGGCCCAAGCAGAGAAGTCCCCATGAGACTCTCATCTCCAATTAACCACTCAAGGAACCAGAAGTGATACTGTAGCTCAATTGGTAGACCCCCTAGCCTTGAGCACAAAGAGGCTCAGGGACAGTGCCCAGGCCCTGAGTTCTAGCCCCACAACCAACCAAAAAAAAAAAAAAACAACCCAAAAATCAAAACAATATCACACACACACAAACACACACACAATGCCTAGATAAGTAAAAAGCACACCTCTGAGTGTGTCAGTGATGTTGATTGCAGAGGAAATTAGGTCCTGAAGGCTGTGACCTAATCAGTGGATTAATCCCTTGATAGATTCCTAACATGATGGCTTAATTGGGAGGTGGTGAAAGATAGCAGGTGGGAGCCAGGCAGAGAAAGTAGGTCACAGCGTCCAGGCTTCTTCCTCTATTCTCTGCTTTCTGGCCTTCAGGATGTGAACTTTCCTACTCCAACAGGCTCCTGAAATCTCTGCAACTTTGACCTAAAGTAAATCTTCTCTTTAGTTGTTTCTGTATATGTGTCCCAGCACAAGAAAAGCAACAACAATCACTAAATATTAATGTAGGGGCTGGGAAGGTGGCTCAGTGGTAGAGCGCTTGCCTTGCATGCATGAGGCCCTGGGTTCAATTCCTCAGCACCACATAAGCAAAAAGAAAAAAGCTGGAAGTGGCGCTGTGGCTCAAGTGGTAGAGCGCTAGCTTTGAGCTGAAGGACAGTGCCCAGGCCCAGAGTGCAGGCCCCACAACCGGACCCCCCACAAAAAAATTAATGTATGAGTTCATTGATAGATTTTCAAATTCTGTATTGTAACTTCAAGCAACCAGTACTTAGTACTTGTTGAGTATTCCATCTAAGAAAAAATCCTTAATTATTTTAGAAATGCTACACAATACTCTTCCCTTTTACAACACTACGTTTCTATGTCAGGCCAGATTTTCTTCATGTACTTCACTTGAAGAAACGTTGCAAGAAACAGGATGAGGATCAGATATGAATATTTGTCAATCTTTTAATAATTTACATATGTAGAAGATTTGAAAATGTAAAGTAATACCGCTTTTCTCAACACATTATTTTTTGTCCTGGAAAATAAAATTACTTCTCATAGCAATGTATTATATATGATCATGTATACTTATATCATTTTAGTAATTACTTAATCAGTAATTCAGTACCCAAATTTATACATTTGAACTCCCAAAATAAATTCAGATCATAAACATATACATTCCTTTTTTTGTTTTGTTTTTGCCAGTTCTGGGGCTTGAACTCAGGGGCTGGGCACTGTTCCTGAAGTCTTTTGCTCAAGGCTAGTACTCTACCACTTTGAGCCACAGCACCACCTTCAATTTTTTTTTTTTTTTGGTTGGTCGTGGGGCTTGAACTCTGGGCCTGGGCTTTCTCCCTCGGCTCTTCAGATCAAGGCTAGTGCTCTTACCACTGAGCCACAGTATCACTTCCAGTTTTCTGTGGTTTACCGGAGATAAGTCTCATAGCCTTTCCTGCCTGGGCTGGCTTTGAACCGGGATCCTCAGATCTCAGCCTCCTGAGTAGCTAGGATTACAGGCATGAGCCATTGATGCCTGGCTTACCACTTTCAATTTTTCGAGTGCTAAATTAGATTTAAGAGTTTTCTGCCTGGGCTGGCATTAAATCATGATCCTCAGATCTCAACCACCTGAGTAGCTAGAATTACAGGCATCAGCACCTGGATACATATACATTTTATATGCCACAGAGGATAAAGATTTGCTACCAAATGACTATCCATGTTGTATTTCCATTTGCTACAAAGCACCATCTGGAATTTCAATTCCTTTCTCCTGCCAGTGTCATCAAACATATGGCTTGATGCTGAACATTCGAGTATTTCAAAATCCCAGTTAAATATAACTGGTTCCTCTGCCTTTTCTATCTCTTGTTCTTTTAAGTTTACAAACAGTTTGAGGAGAAACCTCTGAAGCTATATTCCAATCTGCAATTCTTTTCTTGTTTTTTTTTTTTTTTCTGGTACTAAGATTTTAACATGGTGCATTTGCTCAGCTTGCTTGCTTTGCTGCTCCACCACTTGAGCCAGGTGTTCACTGGTTATTTTGGAGACAGAATCTTACAGATTTTTCTGTCCAGGCTGGCCTTGAACCATAATCTTGCAAATCTTCGCCTCTCCAGTGGCTGACAGGCATGACTCACTAGAGTCTGACCATCAATCTGCAATTCGTTATCTCTATTCTTCAGATGACACAAAGTGGTCTCTACATTGTTTACTGAGATAACCGCAAGAATCTGACCTTAATTAGTGAAGTATGCAACTAAATTAAGGGAAACAAAACCACTAACACTAAATAATTATTCACCACGCACCAGATGCTTTATATATAGTACTGTTAATTTCACAAAATACAATGTGTAATTTATTATAGACACTTTTCAGATAAGGAAACTATGCTTGAAAATTCTGTCTGAGGCAAAGTTGCTAATAAATGGTAGACCTAGAATTAAAACAAAGCATGTTTTTCTCAGTAATCTGATATTATGGTCTGAGCTAGTAAATGTAGAACATGGACTTGCAACCAAGTCTCTTGAGATTGTGCTTCAACCTCACAGCTAATTTGTTACTGTAAATATGACAGTAATCAAGTTTCTGAGCTCTCAGTATGTCTAGCAGACATTGTATGCATGAAATCCTCCCAGCAACCCCATGAAGGTCCTTTTGTTTTCCCATTTTACAAAAAAGGAACAATAGGGCAAATCACACATTTGGTAAGAGTCAGGCATATTCCTCATTCCCTCATTTAATATGTTGGAAAATGTCTGTGAGTTACTGAAATTCCTTTGGCATTAACATTCTTTTGTTTTTTTTTTTTTGTGGAAAACCCATTCATTACTTCAGTGATCAACTCTTTATTTGAAGACTTCCAATTCTGTATTTTTAGCCCTAATATCTGAGATCTGAGTTGCTACTTGTGATTATTTCAGTATTGTCACTTTCCCTGTAAGTTGTCATCCTTTCCCACTTTCTCTTTTCCACTCAATTTTTTCTAATTGTCTCATGTTAACATTTTTCGTCTGTCTCTAGCAATTTATTTCCAGATAAGTTTCCTATCTTTTAAGTGAAAAATCTCTCCATCTCTCTCATACTAGGGATTGAAACCCAGGGCCTCCACATGTTTGGAAAGTGCTCTACTCCTAAAAGGTACCTCTGGTTTTGTGTGTGTGTGTGCGTGTCTGTGTACTGGGGCTTGAACTCAGTGCTCTGAGTTGTTCTCAAGGCTGACACAGTACCACTTGAGCCACAGCTCTGGCTTTTTGGTGGTTAATTGGAGATAAGAGTCTAATGGACTTTCTGCCCTGGCTGGTTTTGAATCGTGATCCTCAGATCCTCATAAGTGTCCAAGATTACAGGTGTAAGCCACTGTGCACAGCTCCCTTTGCCTACTTTAAAATTGGGTTCTTTAGCGGGGACTCCTGGACTTCGGGTCTGGGGTCCAAAAACACAGTTTCCTTTCTACGAGTGAGTTAATTCCGGTGGCGTTCTCTGGTAGAGACCCGGTGAGCTCTTCCCGCACTGCTTCGTTGCTTGTCCCCGTCGCCTAGGGCTAAGTGCTACCACTCACTCCACACTAACCTAACAGGGCTCTGGTCAGGCAGCCGCAGCCACACCGAGGCCAGTGAACTTGGGCACCCCCCCCCCACCTGGCCCCCTACAAATGAATGCAACCCAAAGGTTCGCCTCACAGGATTCTGGGACAATGACTTAAGACAAACAGTGCCGGTAAAAGTACATTCTAGAGCAAACCTAAGGTACTTTGGACGCTGTCCCTGAGCTTCTTCTGCTAGTGCTCCACCACTTGAGCCACGGCATCACTTCCGGCTTTTCTCTTTGTGTGGAGCTGAGGAATCGAACCCAGGGCCTCACGCATGCGAGGCGAGCGCTCTACCACTGAGCCACCTTCCCAGCCCTCCAGGGCTCGTGGCGCGTCGAATCCGGTACACGGCGATCCCCAAACAGCTCAAGCAGCGTCCCCAAACGTCTGGCAGCCAGTCGCTGCAGGAGTGTGCAGCGCGGCGCTCTGCGTCTGCGCCACGGGGGCCTCACACCGCCACCACACAGTCGGGAAAGCAAGCAGAGAGCGACCAAACAGCCGTCCAAGTTCGAGGGAGGAAGAAGTCCCGCCAAGGGAGGGCAGGACCGACATCCACGCATGCGCAAGGACCGCTCGCGTCGTACGTGCTCACGTCATCACCGCGCGCGCCGTCCAACCCAGTCTGCAGTTGGGCGGAGAACGCCGTCTTCCGGTGGAGGAGAGGGCGGGGCCTGTGGTGGACGGCCGGTGGGCGCGCTCACCTGTCGCCCATCCAGAACTTTCCTTCCTTGAGTCCCGGGAATGTAACGTGGAGGCGGTTTTTTTTTCGTTTCCCTCTGAGCTCCTACCAGCCGTGACTTGGCCATGCCGAACTCGCGGCCTCGGTCCAGGCCCCGCCGGGGCGCCGCCATTGCTGCGGGCCGGGACGAGCTGGTGTCGCGGTCCCTGCAGAGCGCCGAGCACTGTCTGGGCGCCCGGGACTTCGGCACGGCCTACGCTCACTACCTGCTGGTGCTCAGCCTGGCCCCGGAGCTGAAAGACGGCGTGAAGGTGAGGCCCCGCCCCGGCCTGCGGGCGCCGCCGCGGGTCCTGGAGGGAAGGCGCCCCGCGCTCCCGCACCCCCAAGCCCCGCAGAACGGGGGGTGCCTTCAAAAACCAACGTCCGTAATACTCACCGTCCCTCGCCCGCTTCTCGTGGGCTGCCCTGGCTCACGCCTCAGTGCGCTTCCCATTTGGGGGATTCGAGCTGCCTCAACACAGGTGTTTGTTTTACTTGGGAAAAATTAGATGTCACGTCTCTGTCGCCACATTTCCTTAGTTAAAATCCCGAAGATCGACGGATTGCAAAATGAGGGGGGGGTCACCAATAGCCTCTTTTTCACTTACATGTAATTTCAGTACCCTTCTTTTGGGAGACCCCTGCATTTATATTTGCTGTATGTGAAAGGGATGGTTGTGGGTCACTGTCGTGGAATACAGTGCCTTGAACTTCATCTTTGGCTTCAGTTATTGATGATTTGCAAGTTACTCTGTTGAAACACGTCCGTCCCCCTTCTTCTTCTTTTTTTCCTCCAAGTAGTTTTAGAATGTAGCTTCTTCAGTTGCTGCCGCTTCATTTTGTCCAGGGTTTCTCACCCTTAATACTAATGACATTCTAGGTAAAATAATTCCTTATAGTGGGGAAGGAGAGCACGGAGCATCTCAGTCCTACCCACTAGATGTCAGTAGCATCTAGACTTTTGTAGTTCACTTAAATTTGAGGACCAGCTGTCCTGTTGCATTCAGGAGGAGATGTTGTGTGATCCTTTTCTTTCTCTATGTAGGCAGCAGTAGAGTAGTGTTCTTTACAGCTCTGTGTTTCCTAGTTTCCTGTATTGTAAACAGGGACAGTATGTCTCTTAAAGATACTTAGTGTTTTTTGTTCTTGTGGGTTTTTTTTTTTTTTTTTTGCCAGTCCTGGGGCTTGAGCTCAGTGCCTGGGCACTGTCCCTGAGCTTCCTTTGCTCAAGGCTAGCACTCTACCACTTGAGCCACAGCAACACGTTGGCTTTTTCTGTTTATATGGTACTGAGGAATTGAACCCAGTGCTTCATGCATGCTAGGCAAGCACTCTACCACTGAGCCACATTCCCAGCCCCATATTTAGTGTATTTAAACCATCCCAGCTGTCTTTACATTGTTAGTCCACATCCCTTTCTCCAATAAACAAGCCGGGTGGGCATGGTTAAAAAAACAAAAAGAAAAGAGCCCGGCGCTGGTAGCTCACGCCTTTAATCCTAGCTACTTAGGAGGATGAGATCTGAGGATCGGGGTTCGAAGCCAGCCTGGGCAGGAAAGTTGGTGAGACTCTTATCTCCAATAAACCACTAGAAAAGTGGAAGTGGCGCTGTAGCTCAAGTCCTAGAGTGCTCACCTTGAGCTGAAGAGCTGAGGGACAGCGCCCAGGCCCAGAGTTCAAGCCCCACGACCGACAAAAACAAACAAACAACAACAACAACAAAAAGAAAATGTCTGACACTTGCAAAATGTGTGAGGTGAGGCCCTGGGATTTAGTCCTCAGTAGTGGATAAAAACACATGCATAAAAATTGCATTCATTTGGCAGATGCCCTGTGTGGTATTCAGTAGGGTTCTATTTTTCTGCCAAACTATCATTTCCTCCTCTTCCCTCGTTATCTCTTGAAAAAAGGAACAGAATTGATGTTGCTCATCATTTTGATTTAGCCTAGGTTAACACTGAATGCTGAGAAAATATTAGAAAAGAGCCACATGTGAGGAAATGCTTGTTTGGTTGTAATGACTAGTAGGAAGCTGTATTTATGAGTCAGAAAATCAAGGACTGAATTGTAAATGATGTAGCATCATTTACAAATAGGGGAGAAGGTTAATGCATTGGCAATGAGTAAGAAAAGAGAAGAGGGTCAAGGAGAAACTCCAGAAATACTGATCTAGAAAAAAGAAATAGGAGAACGAGATTTTTGTGATATGGCAGATAAGCATGCAAAGAGTTAGAATGCTCAGCCTGTCGAATTCTGCATATTATTGCAATATAATAGGTGGTAAAATTCATTTTCCAGAACTGTTCAGTGAGATTTTTTTCTTGGTCAGTTGTGAGGCTTGAACTCTAAGTCTGTCTTTATTGACTTTTTTTCTTGTTTGTAAAGGAAACTTTTCAGTATACATTGTTCAAATGGGCAGAAGAACTTGATGCACTCAATCGAATACAAGACTTACTCAGTTGTTACGAACAGGCCTTGGAACTATTTCCTGATGATGAAGTGATTTGTAATAGTATGGGGGAACATCTCTTCAGGTTTGTACTAATTTCTGTATTACTTGCTAAGTATTATTCTGTATTAGGAGTAAGTGATAAATTATACAGTAATTTGCCTTGTTTGAGATGGAGCTTCACTGGTCTTGGTTGCAGGCTAGTCTAGAACTCACAGGCTCAAGCGAGTCCTATATTATTCTACTGAGTAGCTGAGACTATACATATGTACCACCATGCCTGACAATTTAAGTAATTTGATACAGGGAAGCTTTAATGTGAGGTATTAATAGGTAGTTGATGTAATGAAGGATATGTTAGTAACAAGGAAAAAACAGGAATAGTAGATATAATCTGAAATATCATAGTAGTTGTATTATATCATTTACTACATAATCACTTGCCCTTACCTTTATTATCTATGCCAGTGTTGTTTTTTTTTTATACTTTTTGTAATAAAAAACGGTCTGTTAAAAAAAAAATCGCTGTTGCCAGGCACTGGTGGCTCACGCCTATAATCTTAGCTACTCAGGAGATTGAGATCTGAGGATCACGGTTCAAAGCCAGCCTGGGCAGAAAAGTCCATGAGACTCTAATCTCCAATAAAACTACTAGAAAACTGGAAGTGGCGCTGTGGCTCAAGAGGTGGTGCGTTTGTCTTGAGCTGAAGAGTGCAGGGACAGCGCCCAAGCCCAGAGTTCAAGCCCCACGACTGACAAAAAATAAAAATAAAAATAAATCACTGTTCTAGGAGAGAAAATATAGCTTTCTCTCTGGACATTTATTTGTGAAATATCTTGGGTATTTCACTTTTATAACCTTTTATTAATCCAGTATCATCAGATTTAAACAAATGTATTTAAATGAATAATTAGATGAAAAGGTGTTTTTTTTTTAACTCATTGACACCATGAGTCTTGGAATATAACTGTTTAGAAATCTATGTAGCAACTTGACATTGTTATAAATACACACATGTGGGCAGAGAGCTTTCATGTGCAGAGTATAGACTACTTTGGTACTGCTAAAATCTGATGATATATGAGCTGCATGCTATCACATTGTGTAATTTTATTGTCCAGCAAACAACCAATTTCAAGAAAGGACAAATTAGAGAGGCACTGTTCTAGGTGGCTTGATAGTTTTGTTCACTCCCACCCCCTCTTCCCTCCCTGCCCTTGCCCTTGCCTCCCCTCCCCTCCCCTCCCCTCCCCTCCTTTTCTTTTTCTGCCAGTCCTGGGGGTTTGAATTCAGGGCCTGGCACTGCTCCTGAGCTTTTTTGGCTCAAGGCTAGCACTGTACCAATTGGGACACATTGCCACTTCCAGCTTTTTCTGAGTAGTTTATTGGAGGTAAGAGTCTCATGGACTTCCTTGCCTGGGCATGTTTGAGCCACGATCCTCGTATCTTGGCTTCCCATGTAGTTAGGATTACAGACACGAACCACTGGTACCCAGCTTAACCTGGCATTTTGTAATGGTCACAAAAAGCTTTCCAAAGGACATATCCTATATTCTTGCTTTTTTTTTTTGCTGGTCATGGGCATTAACTCTGGGCTTGGGCGCTGTCTCTCAGCATTTCAGCTCAAGGCTAGCGCTGTACCACTGGAGCCACAGCGCCACTTCCAGCTTTTTCTGTTTATGTGGTGCTGAGGAATCGAACCCAGGGCCTCATGCTTGCAAGGCATGCACTCTACCGCTGAGCTACCTTCCCAGCCCTTATCCTATATTCTTTAGGATATGAATGTTAATAAGGGATTCTCACATATAGTTGAATGTGTTTTGTCTTTAACTTTTCTTTTTGTTGTTCTAGAATGGGATTTAGAGATGAAGCAGCTGGATATTTTCATAAAGCAGTAAAGTTAAACCCTGAATTCAATGATGCAAAGGAGAATTTTTATCGTGTTGCAAATTGGTTGGTTGAGCGCTGGCACTTTATTATGCTTAATGACACCAGAAGGAATCTTGCCTACAATGCAGCAATCCAAAAGGCTGTCTGTTCGGGGTCCAAAAGTGTTTTAGACATTGGAGCAGGAACTGGAATATTGAGGTTTGTTGTAATTGCTGTTTGATTACATTTTCACCTGTATTAATGTAAATTGAAGCTTATTCCACATACCAAAAATGTAACATTGGAATTTTAAAGTAGCACTTGTTTTTAACTAATTTTGTTAAGAATTAGAGAAGACTTCTATGCAAAATTTGGATTACTGAAATTTTGAGTTTCTCACTCTTAAGAGAATTTTTTTGTATTAGCATTGTGGTGGTGGATGCTAGAAAGCCTCTTGGCAGTCTTCTCATCTGTCTTAAAAGTATGCTACATGCATATTGAGTGATTTTTTTTCTGGACAAGAATATTCTTTTTTTTTTCAGTTCTGAGACTACAGAATGAGTAATGATTAAAGAGTAAAACCTCCTGTTTCTAGCTTTACAAGTCTATTAACATTTTGATGGAGTCCTTTTCTCTTTCATAGTATGTTCGCTAAAAATGCTGGGGCCCTGTCAGTGTATGCATGTGAGTTATCCAAGACCATGTATGAACTTGCTCGTGATGTCGTATCTGCAAACAAGATGGACACGGGGATAAAACTTTTACACATGAAGTCACTTGACTTAGAAATTCCAAAACATATTCCTGAAAGGTATTATAAATTTTCTTATTTACAACTCACTATTTTTTTGGTAAGAATTAAGATACATTTCTAGCATCTAGTCCTGACAAAAAATACCAACACCCTTAGTTTGTAAAAATAGTTTAATAAAAGACAGGTTTGCCTATTAGCATCATGTAAGTGGTAACAAAAAAAATTAAGATCTTGGGAAAAATCTAGATTTCAATGTTTTAATTTGTGATCATTAACTTTAAAAATAAGTTTAGTGTGATGCTACATACCTGTAATTCCAGTCACTTGAGAAGTGGAGAGGATTACAGCTCTAAGCTGGTCCCCGGACAGAGGTTATCAAGACCCCATCTCAACTAAAAGCCCCGTATGGTAGTTCATATTAAGTGGAGAAGGCATAAGTAGGAGGATTGAATTCTGATGCTAGCCCTAGGAAAGAAAGACCCTATCCAATAAATAAGACAACAAAGGACTAGGGATGTTACTTGAGTGGTAGAGTCTTTGCCTCACAAGAACAAGGTCTTGAGTTCAAAACCCCAAAGCAAAAAGCCCAGTAACTCATTCCCCCAAACATGAACGGAGCTAAAATAATGGACTTAACACACTTTGTGTTAATGCTGCCCTTGTTTAAAATGAAAGTTTTGACAGTGTCACTTGTTAATGATTTTTGGCCTCTGCCCATTAAATACTTTGGATATAATCCTGTAGCTCTTGTTTTTTGTATGTTACCTCACTGTGATACATATCATAATAGTCATTGGATTTTAGAACTAGAAAGGATTTCAAGATCATCTGGTCTGACAACATCATTTTAGGAACTTTTTAAAATAAAATACTTGTTTTATAGACTCTTTTGGGTTGTGTTTCCCTATGGTACTTAAATTCAGTTGATATTGAAAAAAGTTATTTTGGACTCTATTTTTATATAATAATGCTGTATATACATACACTTTTCAATGGTCTCTGCATTTGTTCTTCCCATTAGAGAACTATAATTAAATTGCTGAGGCATACACATATCACTTTTATGAGAAAACAACAACAAAAATATTTTTAAAAACCACTGTTCCAGGGGCTGGGAAGGTGGCTCAGTGGTAGAGCACTTGCCTTGCATGCCTGAGGCCCTGGGTTCGATTCCTCAGCACCACATAAGCAAAAAGAAAAAAAGCCAGAAGTGGCACTGTGGCTCAAGTGGTAGAGCGCTAGCCTTGAGCTGAAGAGCTGAGGGACAGCGCCCAGGCCCAGAGTTCAGGCCCCACGACCGGCCCCCCCCCAAAAAAAAAAAAAGAATTAAACCCTTAAATAGGAGTCTGAGTTCTAGACAGGTGGCTGGGTGCCAGTGGCTCACACCTATAATCCTAACTACTTAGGAGGCTGAAATCTGAGTATATGGTTCAAAGCTATTCCAGGTAGGAAAGTTCCTGAGACTTACTCCCCAATTAATATAGAATAATATAAATGGTGCAGAATGACTATTTGCAATTGTCATATAAAGATGCAGGCAAGAATCATGATGGATACTCAGGGCAATTTGGCTATTTATGTACTTATACAGAATAATACACAAAGTACTTATTTTAAAAGGAAAATTGTTAATTGTGCAGAGATGAAACCACATAATATCTTTACCAAGAGGCTAAAGTTAATGTCACCAGTCAGCATTTAGATGGTATTGCATGCAGAGTGTAAAAGAAGTACCTAGTTGCAAGGAAAACATATGCAAACCCAAGTTGGACCATTCCTTGAGATAACTGGTCTACCTTCAAAAATGTCAATGTTGAGAAAGCAAAGGAAACAGGAATTGTTCCAGATTGAAGGAGGTTAAAGAGACAGTTAACAAAATAAAGAATACCACTTGTTGGTTGGAAAATACTTAAATAACAGTACTAGGATTAAGAAATTTTAATTTTTTGTAATAAATATATATTGAAATGTCTATTGAAGTTTAGATGGACTCAGAAATGGGTTCAAAGGGCACAGAAAAAAATAGAGAGCACGATAAATGTAGCAAAACACTTTAAAGCTTGTGGGAGTTTTTTATATTGTTCTGGAAACTTGTATGAACTTGGATGATTTTCAAAATTAGAAAGTTAGAAGCAGAGGAATATAGATTTATATTTTTCAATAATATATATTCATAATATATACAAATTTTTAAAAATGGTGTGCAAAGATACACATCAAGTGTTTAATTGTGAAGAAATCAGGAGTACTGTGAAGATGATGTTCAATTTTTATTTGCTATGATGTTTTGACAATATTTTTATGTTACTGTATTTTATAATCTAAAAGGAACTTATTTGCCACAAATTTTGATAAATATGTGTATATATATGTATACATAAATACACATACGTGTGTGTGTATGTGTGTGTGTGTGTGTTGGTCCTGGGGCTTGAACTCGGTGTCTGGGTGCTGTCCCTAAGCTTTTTTGCTCAGGGCCAGCACTTTACCAATTGAGCCACAACTCCACTTTGGCTTTTGGGTGGTTAATTGGAGTTAGGAGTCTCATGGACTGCCCTGGCTGGCTTCAAACTGCAGTCCTCAGATTCCAGCCTCTGAAGAAGCTAGGATTACAGGCATGAACCATCAATGACCAGCTGATAACTCATTTTTTTGAGTATAATAATTTCTAAAAGTTTATTTGAATTTAAAAAACCTGAAACGCTTTTGAGGTTTGGAATGTTTCTTTTTACATAAGGGTGTAGCTAAAGTGTCATGAAGTGTTTCTGTTGTCAGTGTAAATTTTACGAGTGAAGCCATTTTTACCACAAATGCATAAGTCAGAAATTTATAATTTGATTAATTTCATTAAGTGGATACACTTTGGTAACCACTGCTCTGACTGAGGATCAGAACTACCATACTAGAAAGTGCCCAGGAAGAAGTCCTTTTGTATTACCAGGGCTCTCACTCCCTCAAAAGTAGCTGCTCTCTTGATGTCCACATATTAATGTGCTCGTTTGAATTTTGTGCAAGTGATCCATTATGAGATGCATGTGTGTGCACACACATGCCTGGTTTTTCTTTTGTCCAACATGCACATACTTGTATATATACATTTAAGAAGCCTTGACCTTGACATACAAGGTCTACCTTATATTTGCATTTATCTTGTTCTGAACTCAATATTAGGTGATATTTCTTGATTCATTGCTTTTTTTTTTTTTTAAATAAATTGCATTTCTCACCAGAGTGGTGGTTAAAGACGTTGCTGGTATCCATTTGCCACCAAATGTGAAATTTCAGAGTCCAGCTTATTCTTCTCTCGATACTGAAGAAACAGTTGAGCCTTATACAACTGAGAAAATGAGTCGAATTTCTGGAGGATATTTGGCTTTGACAGAGTGCTTTGAAATTATGAAAGTCGATTTTAATGATCTTCAGGTAAAAACATTTTATGTTTTGTTTAAAATGATATAAAGGACATGAGCTGAACACTGGTGGCTCACACCTCTAATTCTAACTACTCAAGAAGCTGAGCTCAAAGGTTCGTGGCTTGAAACCAGTCTGGGTAAGAAAGACCATAAGAATATATGACAGGGGCTGGGAAGTTGGCTCAGTAGTAGAGTGCTTGCTTTGCATTCATGAGGCCCTGGGTTCGATTCCTCAGCATCACATAAGCAGAAAAAAGCCAGAAGTAGTGCTGTGGCTCAAGTGGTAGGGCATTCGCCTTGAGCTGAAGAGCTGAGGGACAGCGCCCAGGCCCAGAGTTCAGCCCCCACAAATGCCAAAAAAAAAAAAAAAAAAAAAAAGATATATATATATATATATATATATATATATATATATGAGATAGACTTACGAGTTTGCAATTCTACTTATAGGTTAGTAAGCGCTGAGGCTGGTTCCAGCCTCTTGATTAACTAGGATTATAGGATTATATACCAGCACCTAGCCATTTTTTGATATTTGAAGTGCATTAAAATTTTTGTTTACACATATATCTTATGAAAATTTTAACTTTGCCAGTAATGGCTCTCTATATAGCACTTTTTAGCAATACAGAAAAATAGAGATGAAAAGGCCCAGTATTTTTCTTCCCTTTGTGTTTCTAAGCTTTTTTGCCCCATACTAGTTTTTTTTTTTTTTTTTTTGGATCCGGTCGTGGGGCCTGAACTCTGGGCCTGGGCACTGTCCCTCAGCTCTTCAGCTCAAGGCTAGCACTCTACCACTTGAGCCACAGTGCCACTTCCAGCTTTTTTCTTTTTTCTTATGTGGTGCTGAGGAAATGAACCCAGGGCCTCAGGCATGCAAGGCAAGCGCTCTACCACTGAGCCACCTTCCCAGCCCCCCATACTAGTTTTGAAGTATCTTTCTAGACTTGTTTTTTTGTTTTATGAGTATAAACACATACACACACACTTTTGTGGGACCAGTACTAGGGTTTGAGCTCTACACTTTGGGCTTGGTATAAAAGTGCTCTACCACTTGAGCCACTCCCCAGCCTTTTTTTTTCCTTTAGTTTTTGAAAAGGCTCTGCAAATGTCTAGACTGGCTTGGAATTGTGATCTTCTTATTTAGGTGGGGTGATGTGCACCAGGATGCCTAGCTTTTTTATTGGTTGAGATAAACTTGTTGCCTAAACTATCACTTAATCAAAACCCTCACAATCTCTCTCCCTCCCCCCTCTCTCTCTTACACATACATACACACACACATATACACACATGTAATTTATATTGGTTTGCTACTTGCCTTTGTCATCCATCATAGTTTTTTCTCTGCATCAGTAACTTTTTAGTAATTGCATAGTACTCTGATGTAATCGGTCACAACTTCTCATGTAATATGATGTAAGTAACTTTAAGCACTAAGATGCTCATTTCCCAAGGGCAGGCCTGAAAAGCTGAGGGATGGAGTAGTGATACTGAGACAATACACATTCTAGTGTACTAAATCCTACTGTTGCTTTTCTAGGAATTAAAAACTCTTACAACTAAAACACCTGGCCAAATTAGCATTCCTGTTATTAAAGAAGGCACACTAGATGCCATTGTGGTTTGGTTTGTGCTCCAGCTTGATGAGGAGTACAGTCTGTCCACAAGTCCTGGCGAGGAAACTTGTTGGGAGCAGGCTGTGTACCCTGTGCAGGACCTTGCAGGTAGGTGCGTCTCATTTTTATTTTTGTTTTGATATTTTTTCCCATTGGTACTTTTGTGCACTAAAATGGGGAAAAATGACTTTGGATACGAAGTTTTCCATCGAGAGAGATTAGGTAGTCATTCAGATTTTATTTTCCTTTTTCAGAAGTAAATTTAAGTAGCTAATACATATAATTAAGCAGAGAGATTTAAAACAGAACTCTGCTGTATATCCTCAGAAATACTTACCATTAAGTGGTTTTCTAGTTAATAGTAGACAAAAGAAGTGCTGGTCTAGTTTTTGATGGAAAATGTTGGCCAAGTATTGTTTTAATTGTAGGTATATTACCCATTAAAGAACCCAACGGATGGAATTTGTGGAGCACTAGGTCATAAAAGTACAACACTTGTAGCACAGAATTTTGCAGTATGAGTTTGGGGATCCATGAACTTCCCTAGGGAAAATCTTTATCAAAGGTATTTTCTGTCTAGAAGAATTTTTTTTTTAAGGTCAGTCATGGGGCTTGAACTCAGGGCCTGGGTGCTGTCCCTTAGCTTTTTTGATCAAGGCTAGTGCTCCACCGCTCAGATCTCAGCCTCTTGAGTAGCAAGGATTTACAAATATGAGCCACTACTGCCCTGCTTAGAAGAAATTTTTGTTTTTGTTTTTGTTTTGTTGCCGGTCGTGGACTTGAACTCTGGGCCTGGGTGCTGTCCCTCAGCTCTTCAGCTCAAGGCTAGCACTCTACCACTTGAGCCACAGCACCACTTCTGGTTCTCTGGTGGTTAATTGGAGAAAAGAGTCTCACGGACTTTCCTGCCCGGGCTGGCTTTGAACTGTGATCTTCAGATGTCAGCCTCCTGAGTAGGCATGAGTCACCTGCTCTGGCTTTATCTTTATTTTTGATAACTTCATTGCCAAAGATGATAGAGTTCCTCAAGTCCTCTATTATCTCTCCTACCCTCATCAATTTGGGGACATGATAACATATATAAATTACAATTTTAAAAAGCAAATGACTTCCAGGTGCTGGTAGCTTGTATGTGTAATCCTAGCTACTCAGGAGGCTTGAGATCTAAGGATTGAGGTTCAAAGCCAGCTTGGGCCAGAAAGTCCATGAGACTCTTATTTCTAGTTAACTACCCAAAAAAGCCAGAAGTGGAGTTGTGGCTCAAGTAGTAGAGTACTAGCCTTGAGCAAAAACTCAGGGACAGCACCAGGCCCTGACTTCAAGGCCCTAGTGTGTGTGTGTGGGCACACACGACCATAATGGTGATACAATTAGGATCCAATAATGGGATGTGGAGCTCTTGAATCTCTCCATAGTACTACAAATTATAGAATCTTCAAAGTTTAGTTTTTCCCTAAGTTAAGCTGATGGGATTTCCCTATTTTTTTTTGTCGGTCGTGGGGCTTGAACTCTGGGCCTGGGCGCTGTCCCTCAGCTCTTCAGCTCAAGGCGAGCGTTCTACCACTTGAGCTATAGCGCCACTTCCGGTTTTCTGGTAGTTTATTGGAGATAGGAGTCTCACGGTCTTTCCTGTCCGGGCTGGCTTTGAACTGCGATCCTCAGATCTCAGCCTCCTGAGTAGCTAGGATTACAGGCGTGAGCCACCAGCGCCCGGCTTGGGATTTCCCTATTTTTATATACATTAAATGTGTAAATGTAAATCCTTCTTTACGTGTTTTAAATAGGGGGATAGATGTGAGATAGGTGTGTGTGTGTGTGCGTGTGAGTGCGTGTGTGTGTTTTCCTCTGAGTTAAAGTGCTCCATATTAATCAACTGCTTTTTAAAAACTCTTTCTTTTTTACTAATGAAGACTACTGGGTAAAGCCTGGTGATCATGTTACAATGGAAGCATCTTGTCAGGATTGTTACTTGAGAATCAATGTCTTGGCTTTGGACCATGAGATGGAAGTTGTAAAAAGTTTTACCAAGAATAAAGACTTGCTATCTTTCGGGAATGAGGCTGAACTCTGTAGTGCCCTGGCTAATCTTCAGACCAGTAAACCAGATTGTGTAGAGCAAATGTGCATATTGGAATCCACCGAAATTGCTTTGCTCAACAACACTTCATATCACGAAGGCTTTAAGATGGCAATGAAGAGAGTGTTATCTTCTTTGGCCCCAGAGAAGCTGTGCCAGGCTATGGATACTCAGTGTCAGGATAATGAGGTACACTGTGGAACTGGACAGAGTTACACTGCACAGGACATCCCTGAACCTTTCTATGTGTTAGATGTGTCTGAAGGCTTCTCTGTCCTGCCTATAATTGCCGGCACACTTGGGCAGGTTAAACCTTACAGTTCTGTGGAAAAAGACCAGCATCGTACTGCTCTTGACCTCATATCTGAAGCCAATCACTTTCCTAAGGAAACACTGGAGTTTTGGCTGAGGCATGTGGAGGATGAGTCTGCTGTGCTGCAGAGGCCGGAGTCAGACAAGTTGTGGAGCATAATCATACTGGATGCCATTGAACCGTCTGGACTTATTCAACAGGAAATAATGGAAAAAGCTGCAATATCCAGGTAAAACACAGAGTAGATATAAATTTCAATGTTTTGTTCAGCTCATTCTTCAGGTCAGTTCTTTTCTTGAATGGCATGGCTGCAAAAATGAGTCTGGATCATTGTTCCTGAAGTATTGCTTTTTGGTACTTGTGATTTCATGCCTTTCTCTTTGTATACCTGTTACTAGTACCTTTTCTGCTAAAGGAATTTGTGCACTGTAGATGTGAAGAAAAACACCTATTTTGGATTTAGGCAGCCTATGTTTCATAGAAGGAGTTTAATGATATCTTGAAAATAGTAAGACATTCAGTATAAATACAGAGAAATCACATTTTTAAACTGTAATGTTAGAAAAATGCAGCACTCATTTGATGGCATTTTGGGAATAATTCCCTATCCTCTTGGGTTGTTTTATAACACATTTTGTAATATATTATGTCTCTTTTTAAAGGCATTTCTCCTTCAGTGTAGATTGTTTAATTCTAAGGAAAAATTTAGCTAAGATTTGAAGTCCTTCAGTTGTACTTATCAGCCCTGCAAACAAGGCAGTAGTCAATATTTGCAATCCGAGATTTAAGAAAAATAGATGTGTACATATCTTCAGTTTTGAACTATAGGAACAGGTTGTTTTATAAAGAGAAGTGGTGTCATGAATTAAAGATTGTAATAGCATAAGGAAATTATTCACTGAGAAGATACTTGACAAAAGATACTTGACAAAACCTAGTAAAAACAGTATTTTGCTTTTCCTTTCTTTCTCTCTCTGTGCTTTCCTTCCTTATTTTTCTCTTTTTTTTTTTCTTTTTTTTTTTGGCGGTTGTGGGGCTTGAACTCTGGGCCTGGGTGCTGTCCCTCAGCTCTTCAGCTCAAGGCTAGTGCTCTACCACTTGAGCTACAGTGCCACTTCCGGTTTTCTAGTGGTTTATTGGGATAGGAGTCTCACCGTCTCTCCTGCCCGGGCTGGCTTTGAACCGTGATCCTCAGATCTCAGCCTCCTGAGTAGCTAGGATGACAGGCGTGAGCCACCGGCGCCCGGCTTATCTTTCTCTTTCTTTCTTCCTTCCTTCCTTTCTCCCTTTCTCTCTCTTCTTCCTTCCTCCTTCCCTCCCTTTCTTCCTCCTTCCCTTCCTCCCTTTCTTTCTTCCTTTCTTTGGCTTTCTCTCTTTACTCTTTTTCTCTTTTTTAAATAGATATTTAATGTAAAGGCAATGAACAGGGTGGGGTGGGTTACAGTTACATAATTATTTTTTTCTCTTTAGGTCAGTTATCACTCTAAGTTTGACTTACTAGGAAATTATTTTCAGTAGTTTACCATTCTGAACTTGTAGTCAATAATAACACAGTCCATTAGACTGTATATAAACTGTAGCTCAGTAATTCATGGCTTTTAGTTATTGAGATCTACAAAACATAGAGAATTGAAAAACATTTTAACATATTTACCCTTCCTTAGGTGTTTACTGCAGTCTGGAGGCAAAATCTTTCCTCAGTATATGCTGATGTTTGGGATGCTCGTGGAGTCACAAACACTGCTAGAAGAGAGCGCTGTTCAGGGAACGGATCGTACACTTGGGTTAAATATAGCACCTTTTATCAACCAGTTTCAGGTGAGCATCTAGAAAAGAAATGGTGTAGGATTTCTGTCAGTGATGGAAAGGAAGGTTGGGTGCTGTTGGAATGAGAGAGAGAGGGAGAGGAGGGAGGGAGAGGGAGAGACGGAGAGAGAGGGGAGGGGGAGAGGGCTTGTATCTCCATGAAGGTTTTATAGAAATGAAAGCAGCTTTTATTGTTGTTTTTGTTTGTTTTGTTTTTGTTTTTTGGGTGCCAGTCCTGGGGCTTAAACTCAAGGCATGGGTGCTGTCCTTGAGCTTTTTACTCAAGGCTAGTGCTCTACCACTTGAGCACAGCTCTACTTCCTTGGCTTTTTTGGTGGTTAATTGGAGATAAGAGTCCCATGGACTTTCCTACCCGGGCTGGCTTTTCAAATTGTGATTCTCAGATCTCAGCCTCCTGAGTAGCTGGGATTGCAGGCGTGAATTACCAGTGCCTAGCAGAAAGCAGCTTTAAGCAACATTTTCCTCTGGATTTTAAAAGGAGAGAATGGAAGATATTTTTTTTAACTGGTTTTTTTTTTTTTGGTCTTTTTTTTTTCTCTTGGTACTGGAGATCGAACCCAGGATGTTGCAGTTGCTAGGCAAGTGTTTTGCCACTGAGCTACATCCCAGCCCCAGTGGAAAGTATTAATAGCAAGAGTTCTTTAAAACTAAGATCTCTAGAATATGTAATGGCAGTGGGGTTTCCTTTTGTATTCTGGAGACATCTAAGGACTTTGACAACTACAGATACCTAGAGCCAGACTCCAGATTGATATAGATGATGGCCAAAGAGAGTAGGCCTTTTAGAAGCTCCTGAATGATTTTAATTTACATCCAAGATTGAGAAATAAACTATTTCTAGATTCTAGAAATAAACTATTTTCCAGGTTTCCATTTGGTTGAATTTTATTTTTTTGTCAAGAAACTTAACATGTAATCCTATACTAGTTTTTAACTCATAAATCCTAGGCTTTTTAGAGCTGTTTGGTTAAGCAAAAACTTAATTTGTTTTTAGAAGTAAAAGCAAATTTTTTAAACTGACTAAACTTTGGATTATTCTTGTAAAACTGGAATAATGGAAATCTTTATGCCTTTATCTGGTGTGGTAATATAAATGAAGTAGTTATAAAAAGCATCCAGTCATTGGGTCAAGTACAAATCAAACACTTAATGGACATTAACCACAAAAAGGATGAAAAAAAATGAAAAAAATACCCTTTCCATAGGTGCCTATACGTGTGTTTTTGGACCTATCGTCATTGCCCTGTTTACCTTTAAGCAAGCCAGTGGAACTCTTAAGACTAGATTTGATGACTCCTTATTTGAACACCTCCAGCAGAGAAGTGAAGGTAAGCTCAGCATGTAGTTACCACTTTTCAGATTCAGGATGATACTTAATTAAACTAGGTAATATTTGTATGTTCTACTTGCTTTTGAAGATTTAAGTCTTCTGAAAAACATTCAAAAATTAATTTGAGCAAATATGGTGAGCAAAATAGGCTAATATTTTATTTGGGTGACTCAGTGTATTATTAAATTTCAGTATTTAAAATTAACTAAAAAGAGAAAGAAGACTTAATCAATTGTCACTGGTGAGATTTTTGTGATTTCTTGCTTTCTGTAGGTACACATCTGTAGATCAGGACAAGTGACTGCTATTCCATTTTGGTTTCATATGTACCTTGATGAAGAGGTTAAATTGGACACTTCAAGTGAAGCCTCACACTGGAAACAAGCTGCAGTTGTTCTAGATAATCCCATCCAGGTGGAGATGGGAGAGGAACTCGTTCTCAGCGTTCAGCACCACAAAAGCAGTGTCAGCATCACAGTAAAGAAATGAAAACAGTTTTCTAATGAAAACTGTTCAGAGCATCTGGTACAAAATTCTTATCCAAATTAGTGGGATTGTAATCATAAAATGGGTGCTGGTGGCACACGCCTTTAATTCTAGCCACTCAGGAGGCTGAGATCTAAGGATCAACGTTTGAAACCAGTTTCAGCAGGAAAGTCCATGAAACTCTTCAGTTAAGCACCAAAACAGCTGGATGTGGAGCTGTTGCTCAAGTGGTAGAGTATTAGCTTTGAGCAACTCAGGAACATCATCCAGGCCCTGCGTTCAAGTCCCAGGACCAGCATGTGCACGCGCGCCCACATACACACATTTTCAGAGCCTTACTGTAATAGTAAGGAAAATTTGAAATCTTTACTGAAGACACAAGGTTTTTAAATACCAAGTTTATTCTACATACTCATTGTATAGAAGAGTAAAGGAGTGAGAAAGTCAGCTGCAGGAGGCATTATTTCCTGACTGACTTAAGAAAAGAAACATTTAAAAGCTGATATAAATAAAATGGTTTAATGCTAAGCCGGTTCTTTCCAAAGTTTTGATTTGAATGTACAGTAAGAAATAAAATTATCCTATATTTTACAGACTTGTGGAACGTGGAATTAATAGGAAGATCACTTTGATACTTTGTGTGTTTTATTTGTATTAGTACTGGGGCATGATTACCAGCGCCCAGCAACTCTTGTGTTCCTTTTTTTTGGCCAGTCCTGGGGCTTGAATTCAAGGCCTGAGTACTGTCTGAGGTTGTTTTCCTTGAGGCTAGCACTTTACCACTTGAGACAGTGTCACTTCCAGCTTTTTCTGTTTATGTGGTACTGAGGAATCAAACCCAGGGCTTCATGCATGCCAGAGAAGCACTCTACCACTGAACCACCTTCCCAGCCCCCTTTATGTTCTTTTTAAATCTTCCAAAAAGCTGCTGCTTTGCTCTGAATTGCCTGGTTTCATTATTTCTGTTATTAAACAAACCAGCATTAAAAAAAATCCACTGTGTGTAATGAAGATCTGTAACATGTTATGGTATAGTAAAAGGGTTGTTAATACTGAAGTATACTGAAGTACAGGATACCAGCTCCGATCTCAATGTGACTGCCACATAAAATTTCCTTGTTGTCCTCATACTGAACATATCAATCCTCATTCAGCTTTGTGTCCTGTGACCTACATCTCCCCAGTCCATCCCTATCACTGTCTGCTTTCACATATTTTCTCCTTGGACTTTGCATACTTGAGTTGCAGGTGGCAAGATCACCCTTTCTAAAGGCTGAAAATATTTGTCTAGATAAATGAGTTTCATTACACATTTATCAGACAAGTGGATATGTGAAATGTTGGATATTGTGGATGTCTGGATTAATGAGCATGGGAGTACAGATGTCTTAGACATATGCCCCAAAGATATGTCTAGGTTATCTTGTTTTTGTTGTTTTTTTTTTGGGTCCGGTAGTGGGGCCTGAACTCTGGGCCTGGGCGCTGTCCCTCAGCTCTTCAGCTCAAGGCTAGCACTCTACCACTTGAGCCACAGCGCCACTTCTGGCTTTTTTTCTTTTTGCTTATTTGGTGCTGGGGAATCGAACTCAGGGCCTCATGCGTGCAAGGCAAGCGCTCTACCACTGAGCCACCTTCCCAGCCCTAGGTTATCTTGTTTTAATTTTAATTTCCTTAGACCCTGTTGTGGTCCTGCTTCCCCGGACCCGCCCAATTTAGTGTTTTCCACAATGACCATACCATACAATCTACATATTCACCTGCAGTTCAAAAGTTCCATTTCTTTACACCCTTGCCAACATCCAACATTTGTTATCTTCTGGCGTGTGTGCGTGTATGTATGTATGTATGCATGTATGTGCGTGTGCACGAGCGCACGCTAAAACTGGGTCTGAACTTTTTTTTTTTTTTTTTGGGTCCGGTCATGAGGCCTGAACTCTGGGCCTGGGCGCTGTCCCTCAGCTCTTCAGCTCAAGGCTAGCACTCTACCACTAGAGCCAGAGCGCCACTTCCGGCTTTTTTCTTTTTTTGCTTATGTGGTGCTGAGGAATCGAACCCAGGACCTCGAGCATGCATGCAAGGCAAGCGCTCTACCACTGAGCCATCTTCCCAGCCCGGGTCTGAACTTTTTTACTCAAGTGCTCTGCCACTTTGAGCCACAGCTCCACTTGTGGTTTTTAGGTAGTTAATTAGAAATAAGTCTAGCAGCCTTTTCTGCCCAGCCTTGACTTTGAGCTGCAATCCTCATTTTTCAGCCTCCTGAATAAGCTAGGATTATAGGTATGAGTCACCAGTGCTCAGCTCACTAATTATTTTGAGATAGGTCTCAATTTCTGCCTGAGCATTTGTCTTGACCACGATCCAACAATTCTAGGGTTCCTGTTTGTTGCTGGGATGATGCATCATAACTTCTTTCATCTAGTGTTTCACTGTGTTTGTGGGCTAGCCTCAGCTTTCCACATACCTTGGGTTGATAGTTATGTATTGCTTTGCTCAGGTATGGGTATGGGTCTTGTGAACTTTTCTTCCCAAGTTGTCCTTGAACTGAGATCTTCCAATTCTCAGTCTTGAAGTTAGAATTACAGGCATGAGCCACTGGGGACCCATTCAGAGGTTTTGAGAAACAACTAATCCTTGCTATTTTCTACATGCTATACATAGCATTTCTCTTTTATACTAAATTATTAAACATAACCCTGTAAGTACTCTAATTATAATTAAAATTCTCCTAAATAATATATTTGTGTCTGGGGCTGACAAGGTGGCTCAGTGGTAGAGGGCTTGCCTTGCATGCCTGAGGCCCTGGGTTCAATTCCTCAGCACCACATAAGCAGAAAAAAGCTAGAAATGATGCTGTGGCTCACGTGGTAAGAGTGCTAGCCTTGAACTGAAGAGCTGAGGGACAGCATCCAGGCCCAGAGTTCAGTCCCACGACCGACAAAAACAAAACATAATAATACATTATGTCTTCAATGAATAAGACCATTTAACCACAACTTACATCTTTTTGGTGGTACTGGGGAACATGAAACTGAGAGCTCATAGTTGCTAGACAGTGTTCCACCAACTTGAGGCATACCCTAGTCCTTTTTGACTTTAGGTATATTTTAGGTAGGTCTCAAGTTTTTGCTCTGGACTAGCCTTAGACCATAGTCCGCCCATAGCTTCCTAAGTAGCTGGAAATCACAAGTGCCACCATGCCCAGTTTGTTGGTTGAGAGTGGCGTCTCACTAAACCCCACGTTGGCCTTGAATCATGATCTTCAGTCTGTGCCTCCTGAATATTTGGGATTACAAGTATGTCCTACCATACCCAACTTTGCTGCCACTTTTAGTAGCACTATGGTAAAACATGCTTTTGGTTTTTTAAAAAACTTTTTTGTTGTGCCCTAATCAAGATATTTTTGTAAGCCTGGCCACCAGTGGCTCATGCCTATATTCCTAGCTCTCAGGAGGCTGAGATTTGAAGATGGCAGTCCAAAGCCAGCCGGGCAGGAAAGTCATGAGACTTTTTTTTGTTGGTCATGGGGCTTGAACTCTGGGCTTGGGCACTATGCCTGCGCTCTTCAGCTCAAGGCGAGTGCTCTACCTCTTGGGCCACAGCACCACTTCCAGTTTTCTAGTGGTTTATTAGAGATAAGGATCTCATGGACTTTTCTGCCCGGGCTGGTTTTGAACCGTGATCCTCAGCCTTCTGAGTAGCTAGGATTACAGGCGTGAGCCACTGGAGCCAGGCTTCATGAGACTCTTACCTGCAATTAACTTCTAGAAAACAGGAAATGGTGCTGGGGCTTAAAGTGGTAGAGCGCTAGCCTTGAGCAAAAAAGCTCAGGACAGCACCCAAGCCCTGAGTTCATGCCCACAACTGACAAAAAAAAAAAATCTAAATTATCAAGCATACATTTGCAGAATGAGAGACATAAAAGTTGCAGAAAAATGATAAATTTTTATTTGTTGAAAGACATTCAATTGAGAAGTAGAGAAATAATTGTTAGGTAAGCTTATATGGCACATGATTATGATTAGGTTCCACTAATTTCTGAATTATGCCTTCTGTCCAGAGCATTATATTCATGCAGCAGTAGTCGAATTGCAGTTTTTTTTTCTTTGTCCATCTTCTTGATAAAGTAATGTAATGCCAGGAACATTCAGCTGTAGTCATTTTCTATGGTTTGAGTATGTGATACTCTAATATTAGGAAATCAAGTCTAAGTCTAGGAAGTTTAGACTGATTATTGTGATATACAAAACACATACATACAGAAATCCAATAGTTGTACCTGGCTTTCACCTATCTTTGTGTTGATATTTTCCCATCATTTTTGACCTGTCTCAAGCACAAAATCCTGAGCCATAGGATACCAGGCAGCAAAATCACATGGTAGTAGTAGTTTGCTTCTTCATTGTTCAAGAGTCCATGGATTTATTTGAAGGCTCTACATTCCCTTCTGTAGTGTCACTAAGTATTTCATCAGCTATGTTAGCTGTAGTAGGTGTCGTCTGGGGAGTCACAGTGTGTCCAAACCCTTGGTAGTGACCCATGGGTGAAGGTGGCACAGAAGAGGCAACAGAAATTGCATCTTGTGATGATGATGATAACAAACTTGTATGTTCATTTTGATCTTGGTCTTCAGGAAAGAATTTTTTCCTAGGATGTCCTCTGACTGTCCGTCCTTTAAAATAATATAAACATTTCCACATATTTCCACATTAGCTAAAAGTCATTTCACCTTTATAAACTTAAATTTCAATGTAAGCTCCCCCCGCCCCACATTCTTCCCAAACCTGAGAGTGTACCATGGGTACTATGCTTTAAACTATCCCACTGTCTTAAAATGAGTGAACTGCTCTAGTAGGAGACCTGTAATAACCTGTGTATTTTGGAAGAATTAAGTGGAACTTACCAACATGCCTTACTTGCTCAGAAATATCGTCTCTGATGTCTGAAACATCCCACATGGCAAGAAAGGAATCAAAGCACGAGCCCTCCTCTGCTTCTTGGACATACGGTTTATAGGAGAATGTGTAGTGATGAGCAATAGCAGCGAGGAACATTTCAATACAGATAATGAAGTCCTACAACAGCAGCAACAAAAATGTCAGTTGTCATTGGGCTTAAATCTAGTTTCTCAAATTGCCATTTTTCCTCAAGTAT